CCACCCCCCCTGCCACCCCCTGCACCCCCGCTCCCAGGTGAGGATGGGGGAGTCTCTGGGGCATCCCCAAAACTGCAGCATCCTGGAGCTGGGCATCCCCAGGACATGGGGGGGGGCTCCGGAAACGGGGTGTGCCTGGTGCTGGACCACTCCCGAAGCTGGGGGGTCCCCAAAACTGGGCCATCCCTGCTGGGGCACGGTCTCACCCTCACCTTCCTTCGCAGGCAAGTGCCCCCCAGCCCCGCCGCTGCCCGGGGCTTCACCCTCCATCGCTCTGACCGTCGGGCTCTCGGGTAGGTGGGGAGGGTGCGGGGACCGTGGGGATGGGGACAGTGCAGGGATGGTGGGGACAGAGAAGGGGGAGGCTTGCAGGCACCAGGGTGTCGGGGTTGCAGTCACCAAGGGACGGGTGCAGGGACCATGGCACAGGGATGGGGTGGCATAGAGGATGGTGACAGCCTGGGGACCAATGCACCGGACTTGGGTGGCTCAGGGTGGGCACAGGATATGTCCCCCTGCCCCGGTGGGGGCTAAGCCGGCTCCTGCTCCGCTGGCAGCCATCCGGATCAAGAAGCCCATCAAGACCAAGTTCCGGCTGCCCGTCTTCAACTGGACGGCGCTGAAGCCCAACCAGATCAGTGGGACGGTGTTCAGCGAGCTGGATGATGAGCGAGTGCTGGAGGTGAGCCCAGCACCCTCAGCCCGAGCGGCTGGGTGGGTGCCACCGCCGCTGCTCCCACCTCTAAGCCCCCATCTCCTTGTCCCACCAGGATCTTGACCTGGAGCGCTTCGAGGAGCTCTTCAAGACCAAAGCGCAGGGTCCGGCCCTCGACCTCGTCTGCGCCAAGAACAAGGCGTCGCAGAAGGCGGCCAGCAAGGTGACGCTGCTGGAGGCCAACCGGGCCAAGAACCTGGCCATCACCCTGCGCAAGGCGGGCCGCGGCACCGAGGAGATCTGCAGGGCCATCCACACGTACGTGCCCCCACGCTGGGGTGCAGCAGAGTGCTATTGGGGGGGCTGATGGGCTTGCTGGGGTGCAGGGGGGCTAGGCAAGGTGCAGGGTGGCTGGTTGGGATGCAGAGGGTCAGGCGGGATGCGTGGGGGCTGGTTGGGGTGCAGTGGGGCCAGGGAGGGTGCTGGGGGGGCTGTTTGGGCTGTAATGGGACCA